ACAGATGAGACTCATGTTTCAAAGACTCAGGGAAAAATCTGTACTCGATTTCTTACAATTTATTACTTTCGATTGGAAGAATATACAATATATATTTTCTCGGAGTAAGCTCTACCTACTTCCCCCTCTCTATCTTATCTTCTTCTCTCTGCTTGTTCTCTTTTCCCATTTTATTTAACAGCATTTCTTGTTTTAATAACGAATAAAAATACTTTGGAAAGAAAATTTGCAGGAATGAGACCACATGGAAAACACAATGTAGGTGGAAAAATAATATTAAAGTGGATATTAATGAAATAGGATATGGAGTGAATTAATGTAGTTCAGAATAGGAACCAGTGGTGGCTTCCTGCGAACTTTCGTTTTCTTGACTAGCTGAGCAAATACAAATTCACAAGAAGGGCTGTCCTCCACTAAGCTGCTTTGTTAGTTAGGTCTTATTTCTGTTAAACAGTCCCTTGTACCCTTGTAATTCTGGCCTATTGTACCAGCCCCAGATGATAGGTGAGGGTGATTGTGGAGCAATTGGTGGAATGAAGATTGGCAGGTGAAACCGAAGTCCTCAGAGAAAACCTGCTCCAGCGCTACTCTACCCACCACAAATCCCACTTGTCCAGACCCAAAATCGAACCCGGGACGCCGTGGTTGGAAGCCAGCGACTAACCGCTTGAGCTACGGCTCGATCTAATAGTACCATATACATAAGGACAACCAAGTTGAACAGATTTCTTCGTAAGAAGCTGATGGTCTCTCAGCTGGTCAAGAAATCCCCCTTTCTTATCGAACCTAAGGATCAATTTCGGTGTTTAAAGGGCCGTTACTGGTCGCTATTCTGAGCCAAATCCAGCCACAGTCTCACATGCTAGTAGAAAAAATGAACAAACATTCAAGCCCCGAGAAAGACATAATCCCGTGATCTCAGATTATCGAACTTTCAAGCGCTAGATGAATCCACGCCCTAAGAAATTATCAAAAAATATCCATGCCCCGAGAAAGATATAAACCCGAGATCTAAGTTTTGGAGAATCGTAGTCCCTCCGTCCATTCTGATCGTGTATCACTAGATTCTGTTTGGGAATTATCCCTTCATTTGTAAGAATGCAAACTTCATAATTACTTTCGAAGAACAGAGACGAAGAGTACCGCCGGCCTCTAGCAGCAACTTCTTCGGCACAAGTGATATGCGTGTAATCTAACCATTTGTGCGCTAGGCGAAAATTTAAGCAGCGTTGCGAGATCTGAAATTCTCAGATTAGTGAGAAGTATATTCTAATATGTGACGTCATATAGTCAAGAAGATCGCTACCAACGTTTCATAGAATCCTACTGCCTCCGTCTTCAGGGTGGAGGACAGTCGAGCATTAAACAGTACGAATACGGAGAGAGAGGGAGCGAGTTTCCGAACTGTAGCTCTAAGAGAACAATTAGGACTAAGGAGTAACGAGTATAGTGGCGCTTTCATGGGCCACTCTTTCCTTACGTGCCTTCTCCTGGCTTTTCTCTGTCTCCTATTGGCTATTCCTGCCACTGATTCTATCCTTGGAAAATCGCATTTAAGTGAATATTTTCTGTTTCCGTTACTGTTCGGCCCTAAAGCTGATGGCGGTAGGCTCCTCCTAAACTTCGGTGAACTTATACTCAACTATACCACGTCACAACTGAGAAGACTGCACTCTTCATTATCACGGCCGTGAGAACCTCAAGGCTCACGAAAGTGAAGTCATGCATGTGCTTAATTTATAACCACCTCATGAAGACCTATAGAGGAGTGGAGGTAGAGCTCCACGCATTTTTAACATTATTACTGGATGGAGGTAACTGGCCAGCCTCATGCGCGGCTGCTCTGCCTGCGGTGAAAGGAACCCAGGTACACTTTGTATAAAAGGGCGAGTGGACCTCAGATCGGGACTTAAAGCTGAGTAGAGGAAAGAATTGTCTTCTCTTTCCAGAAATCGAATATCGATTCCGCAATCGTCAAACCCAAAGCCTAGCCGTCATGCTGATTGAGCTATCTCAACGCCTTTGAAGAAAAGTGTGCGTCAATTTTTTTCTAACATTAGTGTAATTTTAGTTCTATATTTTAATTTGCTCATTCCACATTTCAGTGGAATTCAATATGTACTTTTGTAACTTTACCTAGTTTTTTATCATAAAATTTATCCAGTAATACTTCTGTGAATCTCAGAAGAACATCATAATTTTTCAAAGTTGTTACCCTTTCTAATTCTGAATTTTATTTTCGAAAAATGCCTACTAATTTTCCTTAGTCTGTAGTTTCCCTGTCCATTTAAACCTCCATTGATGAATTGTCGGAAGTAACTTGAATAAACAAAAAAGTAGAGAATGAAGTACTTTCATTGATATTGTTATTTGAAATTAATATTTCTGCTTTAACTCGTCGAGAAATCTCGTTTATAACATTTAAAGAATTAAAATAAGTGAAAAGCTTCAATTATTGCAGCAGTCATCTAAATAACTATTTCATTTTTTAGCTCATATTTGTATGTATACTTTTAAAGCACTTTGTTTCTCCAGACGAATCGTTTAACGATCGAACCACTGTAATGTTTCCTAAGAGGACTTAAGTCCATCCTTTCGTACAATCTTACTGGATGAACTGCGGTGCTTGAAGGCTTGTCCCAATTTTGTTATCAGTAAAGAAGGCACTATCTTGAAAATTCAGTTCGTGAGCAAGTGGACAAGATATTGAATTTATATATATATATGAATCATATGACTCGCGTCTGGAGGTTTTTGTTGAAGCCATCTCTTTGTGTGCGGGATTCAATATTTCCATTGAAATTCTGATCGACTGCGTCTTTGATTTGGACCAGAATTTTCTATTACAAAGTTGATAACCTTGTGACATGATGCTCATCTTTGTGAGGAGGACGATAGAAGAGATCTGATACTTGAATAATTATCGGCGAAAGGCGACATGAAAATGTTTCTTCTCTTAATGATCTTTTGTCCCAAAAGGACCAATTGTGTCAATTTATATAGAGTTAAATTGAAAAAAGTATATAATTATATTTGCCCTAAACTGATACAGACATAATTAAAATATAATTATACTGTATATTCTTATATTATTATAAAATGAGGAACCTGTCATTTTCCCTGGATGTGGTTGTTTCTTTTTATAACTGGTGTGTTTCTGGACATTGTCCATCGTTAAGAGATAAAGAATGATTGGGGTAAACTGAGTAGGTTCCACCTGAAGATGGAGAAAGAATCCAGTCCCCGAAACACTGTCTTTTATACAAAAACGGGACGGTGGATAATGTCCAGAAACACAATAGATTTATAAATATTCCTTCGTCACAAACTTTTAGATCTTGTTGGTTGTTTTTCCACTAATCCCGCCCTTCGACGCTACAGTCTGAGCTACGGACAGCGTCATTAAGCACACCATAAATAAATTAATATAAACAGATATTCGCGGGGGATAGTTAATAGCACTTAATCAGAAAACACGTATAAATTCTCAAGAACGCAACCATGCGCGTTAAAACAGTTTTATGTTTGCGCAATAGCGTTCCGTAAAGAATTATTTAAATCTTACCCCACAAAATTAAATCCTAAACGAGCTAATCTCTACTCTCCTCCAATTTTAATTAGAGTTATCAAGTCGAGGAGGATGAGGTGGGCAGGGCATGTAGCACGAATGGAGAGAAAATGAATGCATATAGGATATTGGTGGAAATGCCATAGGGGAAGAGACCACTGGGAAGACCAAGGTATATGTGTGTGGACAATATTAAAATGGATCTTAGAGAGGTAGGGTGGGATGGCATGGATTGGATTGATCTGGCTCAGGATAGGGACCAGTGGAGGGCTCTTGTGAACACGGTAATGAACCTTCTGGTTCCATAAAATGCTGGGAAGTTCTTGAGTAGCTGCAGAATTGGCGGCTCTTCCAGAAGGGCTCAGCTCCGTCACTAAGTAAGAGTAATCTAATCTCTACATATCTGATGAGTAAGATCCTAAGTAGGCATTTAACTTGTTCTGTATTACCCCTGCAGTTTAAAACAATGGCTACAGCCTTCTCATTTGTGATACGCTAAATGTGCTGATGGCGCTGTGTTATTTGAATCGTATATGATAAATAGCAGACCAGTACAATAACATGTAAAAGTACATCACAAGGCGGTCATATAAAACATGGCCTACTGATCTACCGTTCCCGAAATATAGGCAGAAGGAAGTTTTAGGGCTCTCCAGCAGATTCAGTTCGATATTACACATCCATACACGAACACGTGATTTGAATCAGAGTGTTATTCCCACTGAAAACTTCGCCAATTCGCCCGCAACACAAATAGAGTTGTTGGCAACAAAAATAGGGCTTTATCGCTTCGGGCGCAAATTGATGTTACGCTCAACAAAAGACTCTCGTTTCGGAGGTGTAACGAGTAATTGAAGAAATGCAAACTTTAGATGAAATGTTAAACGTTATCAATATACATACATACGTAAGACCTCGTCGATCGCAGTGGCCGTGCCGGCTAAGACATGATCCTTTTCGACCTCTCGAACACTGGAGTCATGGGTTGTAATGCCACTCGAGGCATGGATATCTGTATACGTTCGTTCTTTTCTTTTTTTCCTGTGTATAGGTAGTGGTCTTGCGACAGGCTGTTCCCCTATCCAAGGAGTCGAATTTATTTCATTCTTTCCTCTTATACCCTTATACGGGTGTCGATGTTTTCCTTTATTGTTTTAGTTACTTATTTCACAGACGGTATGACTCCTTGGATGAGTGATTGACCCGTCGCAATGCCGCTACCTAAACACAGGACAACACAAACACAGAAAGACGCATACACACACAAACATTCATACCCTGAGTGGGATCCGAACCCACGAACCCTGCAATAGAAGACAGTTCTTGCTTTAGACTATACAAGAACTGAAGAAAATGAATCGCAGATCCCTCCACAAAATCTAACTGTGTCAAATGAATTGAGGATATCATATGAGGCTGTGTTGCTTTACAGGAGGTCGGAGCGTGAGCGAGTGGGACAGGAAATGGCGCAACTCTAGATACATTTCAAGTCAACACCAAAAGGTAAGACTGTGTAATGAGAGCATATGCATGCAGTCCGAAAGCTAGTAATGAGGGCTATTGTAATATTCAATTTGATTTGATGAAAAGCATTGAGATTCATATCGAAAAGCTTCCGAGTCCGCACACAATTTTAGCTTTTTGTTTATATGTTTACTACAGCACTACAAATTACTTGATTTATAACATAACAAAAAATTATTATACATGTATTAGGATAAAAACCAATGAAGTTTTATTGAACAATTTTATACACCGGAATAAATATTTGTTTTTCGTCTCGGATATATTGGACTTTCAATGTATTAGAGGGTTTATTGCGTCTAAAATTTTAAGGAAACAGTAAGAATCATTTGACGAAGTTATTCGGTTTCAGAAACGTGTATCAGACACACCCCAGATTATGATGAACTCTGTCCAGTATAATATTCGTAGAGTGAACCAACCACACACTTGACATTTATTGAATCGCCAAAATAATAGAACCACAACTAAAAAATATAGCATGTTACAATTCGATTGGTTCAAGTTTTGTACAGTGCATATTAATACACGTATACTAGCTACGAAGTAATCTATTGTTTAGTGGAATGAGAGCTACTATAGTTGTAGCATTTTACACTATATTTAAAGTTGTTGTTCTTGTTGTTATTGGAGAGGGTGGGTTTCCCCATGCACTTAGACCAGTATTGGTCCATTGTGCGTCCCCCTGTGTTATTCTATCAGTCTCTATACCCTACCGGTACTGGTGGGTGACATCAGTCCCGACTCAGCCTGCGAGTTCGGCCTCTACTGGCTCAGCGGTATCTCGATGCTTCCCCCATCTACCAGAGGCGTTAGAGACTACTTTTGGGCGGGAAATGTCATGAATTTGGCTCAGAGGTCTCCTTGAGACATGAGGTTCTTTTACGTGCTTAAAGTCCCTCCCGGAGGACTTGTTCCCTGAATTTTCCGCCCTTAAAAAATTCCACGACCTCCGCGTTTGAACCCGCGTACCTTGAGTCACGAGGTGGGATCATTACCCCTAGACTACGGAGGCCGCTACATTTAAAGTAACTTGACCTTGCAAATTATTCTCTTCGCTGGCTCTACAATCCCCTTGGACCCTGTCCTCTGCTCTTCAATTTCATTATCATTTACAGACGGTAGAACTCCTTGGACGGTGTTATCAGCTCGTCGCAAGGCCTCTACCTAAACACTGGACAACACAAACAGGGAATAAACAGATACACCTACCAAACATCCATGCCTTATGTGGGATTCAAACCCACGATCCCAGCTTCCGAGCGAGCGAAGACAGCTCGTGCCTTAGACCGCTCGTCTACCGTAACCAGCGACATTGCAGATAGTGACATAAATTATGTAAGATTTGAGGCTTTCACGGCGGTGACTATGAAGAAAGCAGTCTTCTGGGATTTGGCACCGTGTATATGTGGTGTTAACCGACGTTTCGGAGGAACGTATCGCCTCCATCTTCAGGGTAGAAGAAAAAATATAAGAAATCTGCAAGCGAAGAGACCGTGAGAACCGGTAAAATCAGACAGTCTGCTTTTACCGGTTCTCACGGTCTCTTCGCTTGCAGATTTCTTCCTGAAGATGGAGGCGATACGTTGCTCCGAAACGTCGGTTAACACCACACATACACGGTGCCAAATCCCAGAAGACTGCTTTCTTCATTGACATAAATTATATTTGCTCTTATTCATACTTGTGTTACAGTAGATAGCAGTAGCGAAAATTACGTGGGTTCCAAAACATAAAAAACGACTTATTTTATAAATGAATACGATTTTTATCTCTGTAGAGAAATATTTGTGATTGAAAGCATTATATCTCTTCGTCTCATTAGATACTCCATGTAGAATGACTGGCAATCTGTCCGGAATATACGAAATATACAAAAAGTTTCCATCCCCGAAGACAACGCTAGTCGCATCGAACCCTTCTGTTCTCCAGTGCTCTCTGCAGCTTCACGCATGCGCAGGGGATATGTGTTTCTGTTATGCACGAGTTTTGCTTCTTGTGACTCCGGTCCCTACACGAAATGTTCACCAACAGACTTCCGGTGGCTCAGAATATCTGTACAGTTTTACCCAGGCAACCATCTGTGTCAAAAGAGTGGACTGATAGAGTGACTTTCTTTAGATAATTAGTGGATTTGTTTAATTAGTTAGTTACTTCGTTTAGTTTAGTTACTAAGGTCTAGTTTATCTGGTTATTTTCAGTTAGGTAATTGGTCGGTTTTATTCATTTAGGTTACTTAGTTAGTTAGTTAGTTAATCTGTTTGTCTATTTGTTTTATTTGCTTTCTTCAGTTTGTTAGTTGATTAGTTGTAGATGCCTAAACTAGTTCAGTTAGTTCACTGGTTAATTTTATATATTTTAGATTTTTTCCCTAGTAAATGCCTTAAAGGGCGGTCACGGTAGCCGAGCGGTCTAAGGCATGTACTGTCTTCGCTCTCTTGGAAACCGGGATCGTGGGTTCGAATCCCACTCAGTGCATGGTTGTTTGGTGTGTGTGCGCGCTTTTCTGTGTTTGTCTACAGGTAGAGGCCTTGCGACGAGCTGATCACTCGCCCAAGGAGTCCTACCGAATGTGTAAGATCTAGAAAAACCGAAGTGAACGGAGAAGTTCATGGAGGTAGGCCTAGGCCCACTGGGGCTGTAGTGCCAAGGAAAAAAAATGCCTTTAAGACTGCTTAAGTGTTTGTACTGTCAGTCGTACAAGGGCTGAAAGTGCCTAATCAGAGATGAACAAAAATATGAATATGCTGCCTTGTCAGGGCTGCCGCACTCCTCAAGAGGCGTGCGATAAATGAGTATGCAGCAGTGGTGCAATGATAATTATCAGAAAAGAATCGACAATATTTCGCAAAGTCTGCTCACTTGCCAGTTTCTTCACCACGGATTAAACCCGAGGCTCAGCACTGAGAAACCTGAACTGCAATTTAGCTTAATCTGTCCTGGTACGTACTATTTTAAAAATCGAGAAGAAAAGAGAAAAGAAAACAAGAGAGGAGAAGAGAAGAGAGGATAGGAGAGGAGAAGAGAAGAGAGAAAAGAGAGAGGAGAAGAGAAGAAGAGAGGAGAGGAGAAGAGAAGACCAAGGCAATTCCCGCTCATCCTTCTGGCAGAGATGCCTTCATGATGTGGACTTTGTTGGGACCAGATGGGAGAAGCGCAGTTGGGGCTTTTTCTGCATGTGATCGAAATTTATTTTGATATAAACTTAGAAGGGTTGCATTAGGGTGAATTTTTAGTTTAAGACTGAGAAGACTACTTGGGGCGAAATTTTGATCTTACCACTGGGATGGACTGCGTGTGAAGCATGCAGTTCATCTTGGAATTTGTGTAGCAACTCAGAATTTACTCTAGTATCGAGGTTAAGCCAAAAATGGGCCTAAGGAACATTTACAATTGTAGTTCCTACCGCCAAGAACATACACCGACTCTCCAATACGTAAAAGACATAGTAGTTAGTGCTATATAAGGAAACAATCCAAGTTTATACTGAGAATCATACGAAGAACATACACACTATCCGTGCCAAAAGAATGTAAAGCTCCTTCTAAATATTTAAGTAGGTGGTACATATAGAAACCACTGTCGTTTGAGAAGTTAAATGTAAATTAAAAGTAAAATCTCATAATACCCTATATAAAGCGTAAATATTATCCCTTACTGCTTTAAATTTTCTTGGTATAGGCTGATATATGCCGGTCACGGTATCCGAGCGGTCTTATGCATGTACTGTCTTCGCTCGTTCGGAAGCCGGGATCGTGGGTTCGAATCCTATTCAGGTCATAGATGTTTAGTGTTTGTATATGTGCGTTTTTCTGTGTTTATGTACAGGTAGAGGCCTTGCGACGAGCTGATCACTCGCCCAAGGAGTCCTACCGAATGTGTAAGATCTAGTAAACCGAAGTGAAACGGAGAGTTTCATGGAAGTAGGCCTAGGCCCAAATTGGGGCTGTAGCGCCACAGGAAAAAAAATAGGCTGATATACATTACCTCCACAAAGAACCGTATATTAAAGATATGCAGACACGTACATTACGAATTTAACCCCCACCCCCAGTTCTTCACCGACCCACCTGCTACCTTCGTAGAACTTGCATGAAGAAAGCATTGTCACGTTTTTCAGTGGCACAAATTCCAAACTGAACTTGTCGAAAAACACTCTTCTGGGGAAAAAGTTTTTGTTGTTGGTTGCAGACGCACGGAGAGATGTTGCTATGCTGTCATTCTATTTCCTTGCTTCTTGAGAGCTAAGAACAACAAAAATTATATTTAAAAAATAACATTTTGATTTTCACTTTAATGCTTTACTTTCAAGCCTAGATTTACGGCTTCGAACATTTAATTAATAAAGTAATTTTCATACAGACTGGAAAATATAATTTGTACTATTCCTTCTTGCCTGTCGACTTTGCGAAGTGAAGTTTTGACTCAACAATAAAGAGAAGTTACAAGTTTCGAGATGCTTTTAGCAAACTCCAACTCTTATTTACTGACGTAGGCTTCGTTAAGAAATACGGGTAATTCCCGGGGGCGGGGCGTACTGGAGAATTCTACTTAATAAATTAGATTGGCCGTCGCAGCTGGTTCAACAAATGCAATAAAACACGATTCAAACAGTCCTGAACAAGAGAATCGTAACCGCCGCTTTCAAGAACTGAAGTTCTTCTGTGTTTTCAAGAGAATGCTCCTATTTGTTACGCAATATCTGACGTAATAAGTTTATTTCTCGTTTACAAAGATTATACACGTTATAAGGTTCTACTTCCAGTCGTGCAAACTGCACGTTTTCCATTTTCTCTTTATATTTCCTTGTGTTGAATTGTAATTTTCTTATGTGCTGTGAGATCTGAGGTTGTCATGGCCGTAGTTATGAATTCTACTGTCTTGTGTGATGTGAGTCCCTATAATTTGTTAGTTACGTCCAAATGTTTCGGAGGAACATTCCTTCTCCATCTTCAGGATAGAAGAGTGGATATGATGTCA